ATTTTCAAAGTATGGTGCCAAGAAGGCATGTTCACAGGAACAAAGGTCTATAATGCTATAAAGATCTTGTATTGTCCCCAGGCAGTAAGTACCCGCATCTCCAGAAGCATATCACCTGTAATACCCAGAATAGGTGTGGGCCCAGTAAGCCCTGATGATACTCAAGTGAGGTACACAGTGCCTGAAGGACCAATGGGAGCAGAAACATAACATGGACCCACAATCTCATACACTGGAAGGGGCTTGCCCAGCCCATATGCTTACTCAAGCAATTAGAGAGGAAAAGTTGAGAAGAAGTTGTGACAGACTAAGGGGAAGGAGGCAATAAAAGCATTAGAAGCATCAGAAAGTCATAAAAGTTCAATCAAAAGGGGATCAGGAAAAAATATTTTTAATACATTAAAAAACAAAATTAACAGGCAAATATAAATCAGAGACATTCTGCAGGGGAGGGGGAGGGAAAGTGATCATAGCAGGGAAGAGCACAAGAGACTATGGTGACGGTGCATGGGTGAATTGGTGGTGGGCTTCTATGGGGAGAAAGCACACACTGTACAAAAAGGAAGAAGGATATAAAATATATATTAAATAAAAAATAATTTATTAAGCTACAAAAAAAAGTTCAATCAGCACATATTTGAGACCTTAATTTTTACCTTTTTGCCTCTACCCTCCAAGGACTTACATACCATCTACTTCTGGGCCTACAAGAATCAAAAGAGTGCCCTTTGACTGTCTCCTCATGTAAACAGAAGCCAGGGAAGGCAAAAGTTCTGTGGAAGGGGAATCCAAACATCTGAAACAAGAAACATCTGCTCCAGCATGCATTTATGGAGGTCCAATGCACCTGTGCCCACACTGATGTGACAATAATACTAGGTTCTGCCAGCCTGAGTGGTAATGGGGTTCATTTACCAGAACTAACATTACTTCAAGATTTAGAGAGGTTTAAAGATTTTCCCTCAGTTTAGGGAGTGTTTTTTCATATCACTATCAGACCATCACCGACAGCTTGATGACCATCTTCTGGGAACATATTGATTCCCCACATAGATACCCCTCAATGTTGCCTTTAAACTGGCCCCACTTCTGTCCCCCAGTCCCCACTCCAACCCTCTCCATTATCCTGTATCAATGAACTCCAACCACAGGCAAAGTTCTAGAGTAGGTGGTATGGAAATAAATGAAAAACTCAATGTGTGAATTCTGCCTGTCCTCAGGAAGCTCACAGTCTTATTTGGAAGTGCCAGGAAATCTGAGCTGCTGATTTCATAAGAAGCAATTAATGAGACACATGGCACAGCAACCAGTGATATCAGGGTTCACAAGCAGGAGCAAGAAATAGGGGCTGGCACATTTATGGCTGATTCATTCATCTTCTTTAGCTTTACTAAAAAAAAAATGATCTTTCTGTCATTTTGATTTCATGTCTCATGATCTTCCATGTATACCTCCTCTGCTTCCCACATGCCAGAAAAGCGCCCTCTGCAACAACTTTTTCTCTTTGTAGAAAATCACTCTTTTGCCATTTAAAACTACAGCAAACTATTCAAGTGGCCTCACTGGGAAACTATTTCTAAGCTCCATAACAATTCAGGCTCTTTCATTTCAAAGTTTTCTGCTTCCTTCTATGTCTGTGTGTCTACTTGTTGGACTGATTCGGACTATTCATCTAGTGAGCAGATACAACACCTAATTATATTTCCCACTGAAACATTAGCATGTTATTTATGTCTAGCAAGGAAGAAAAATAAAGTCTTGATTTTCCCATTTTTTCCATCTCAGAACTTCATAGCCAAAAACAAATTTTTAAAGTAGAGCATGGAAAGTTTGGTCCATTAGACACATGCAGGGTTTTGCTATGCTCTTGTATAAATGTTTAGCCTTTCAAATGGAGCATGAGCTATTAGGTATTAATCCATCTGTTGTGTTTTTTTTCCTCCTATTTCAGAGGACTCATATATTAGTCTCATAGCAAAAGTCATATCAAAAAACCTGTTCTTTTCCCCAACACTACACCAACAACAAATTACCTTTCATAAATGTTCAATGATAATTTTATGCTCTTAAATAATTAGGAGCATATTAACAGTCCAAAGCCCCTTTTCTTCACACCTTGGCCACACCCTAACTGTATGTGCTTCTACTGGCCTCCCTCCACAGTACAAATTCTCCACACAGTACAGCTGGACTGGCCTCCTCAATGCCCCTTGTAGATGTCAAGACTTCTCATTCCAGGGCCTCCCCTGGTGGCACAACAGTTGAGTGCTGGGCTGCAAAGCTGCGGGTAATCTCTAAACCAGTAATCTCTAAACCTAACCTATTCGTGAAGACCTAGATAATTCACAAACTCCCAACAAATCATTTTTGACCATAATAGCTGTTGGTGATGACTCACTCTTTTGAATTTAGAACATGCAAAGATCTAAAACGTTAACAGCATAACATAGCACACACCAGAAAGCCAAACGGGCAGAAAAATGAGCACTGTTTATATCAAATTAGATCAGCAGCTCCCTAGGAGGGGAATTCTACAGTTCACGTTCTCCATATCACATGCATATTTATAGCACACTGAACTAACCCAGGCTCTTCCTCCCAAGGAAACCTATGAGCATTTAGGGAGCAGATACTATTTCTCAAGTAGCTTCAGAATCCTCTAAAGTAACTAACATGATTAGAGTTGGACATACAGAGAGTACACAGAGAATTCTCACTGATTTGCCCCAAGGGGCAGTGGGAATATTACCTGGTTGAATCAGAGGATAAAATCACACTGAAACAATAAATTGTAGTAGAGTATTGAGAATAAGTGAAAACAATTACAATGAAATGCATGGGGTTGTACACTCACAGAGCCCACTATTCATGCAATTTCAACAGAGGTGGGTGTTAAGGGAGGGGGTAGGTAGTAGAATCAGAATATCAGTTTTCAAATGACCTTGGAGATCACCTACTGTAAACCATCCTCTTAGAGATGGAAAAATAGTGTGGAAGTCTCCCGGGGTAAGCAGAAAGACCAAGAAGACAGAAGGTGTCCTCATTCCTGCCCTTGTCACATCACAGCAGTGGTCCAGCTAGAAGGGAGCTACTCATTTTCACTGAAGAAGTGGCCCCCCTCTACCTGGAGACAAGAGCGACATTTTATTCAGGGTTCCCATCCACATTAAGTGGGAATGTATCCAAGGTTGTTTTGATGATATGTGACACTGCTAATCGCAGGTATATTGTCATTGCTTTATTTCCCAGCTCATCTATGTCATATGCAACAAATGCTAACACATCCTCTAAACAATTAAATGATGCCACAGCAAAGATACAGTGTGGCAACAGGGAAATAGGAGTTCAAATAACTAAACTCTTCATTGAGCAGTTAAACTTTTTTTTTGTATTTAAAAAAAGAGTTGTCATTTTCAGAGTTCTGACATGATTTTTCTAGCCCAGGTAATATAGCAGTGCTGGACAGTGATATCAGGACATCTTTGCAAACTAATGTTCACCGACCATTTATAATACACAGGCAACTTCAGGAATTAGGAAAGATTCAAAAAACTACAACTCCATTTCATTCCTCAAGAATAGAGTAAGATGATTAAAAATGAACACAAAAAGTCTAATAAAGGAAGATCATAAAGGACTAATAGGAGGCTATGAATTTTCCAAGTCATGATGAATCCCCTGATTTTCTTAGCTATGGAAAATTATATTAATTTTAAACCTTATGTGTTGATGAGCAATATCCTCAGAAATTAGAAAGTTCTTAATTTTAAAAGATGAATTTCTTCCATGTTAGATCATTCTTTTGACTTCACATTTACTTCTAACATTCAGTTGTCGATTGACAAAAGAATATGGTAACTTTTTCTCACAGATGCTGATTTTTAAAAGTTTTCTCTGAAGACCAAGTTATACTTGCCTTCTTCAAAATATTGCTGAAACAGAGTTAATCATGAAAAACAATATAATTTTGCCTGTTTGGCGCACTTTAACGCTTCCAAAGCATATACGCACATTCTATTTCAATAGGTCTCCGCAGGTCACCAGAAAACCCTGAGGATGTGCAGGGTCGGCTGATTGTGCTTCTGATCTCTATGTGTGCATGTTATTATTATTATTGTCATTGTGCAAAGAGGAATCTGAGTCTCAGAGGACTTTGGTGAGTGACAGTGACAACTGGCATTTGTCAGACTCGTCAGACAAAAAGAAAATTGCTGGCTAAGCCCTTCAATCTAAAATTACTTACAAGTTATTACACTTGAAAACTCATGCTCCCTCTGGTATATGTTCTCTTGAACAGAAAACACGCCAGGCAGCACTCAGCACTTGGGGCCCCCAGCTGCCCCTCTACTCCACTATGGCGCTGTGTTCCCTTTTCAGAAACTCATCAACATCTTTCCTTTCACTCTCTCTTCTAACAGAGGATCAAAAGGTGGCCACATATTCTTCCATCCTAAAGATCCAAAGCTACTGAACTATGTCCTTCAAAAGTGTCTGGCTTTACAACTTTGTTCTAACTTTGAGAAGTCTTTATGCTGACAAACACATTTAGGGCAGCAGCCATCTGGGGGAAGAAATTGGTGCTGAGTCACTGATGCCGCCATGTTTTCTACAGTGATTAACAAAGAGCAACTGAGCTTATCTGCAAAGTCGCACAAGGCAAGAGGAGCTGGCACTAATGCATGCTGCCCTGTGTCCCTTAGGGGAACTTCAAGGATGAGCAATGACAGATCTCACAAATAAAGAAAGCCCACAAGTCTGTAGCAGTTGAAGAATAAAGAAGAAAACAAAATCTTCGAAGCAGCAAGGGCCTAACAATAATGTCCCCAGGGTCCTCTCACCCAATCCCATACATACATGCTTGTCCTGGTCTGATCTCAGACTATGTAAGCTTAAGTCCCGTAGTTCTTAAAATTTGCCCTACATCCAGGAGGGACACTGTCAACCCTACAACCATGTCTTTCTTCCATTTGAAAACATGGAGTGAAAGTAACCGTCCTTACCTCGTAATGGGCCACACGCTGAGATTCAGAAATCAGCTGTGCACTGCACACCTTGCAGTAACTGTCTGTAAATAAGTCCTGATCAATATCGGACGACTTCATCAGGCTAAACGAGAATCAACAGAGAAGAAAAGAAAAATGAGTCCACTTGTTGTGATGTTTGTACAGGAAACGTAGTGTGAAGAAGTTAGGAACACCAAAACAGATCTGAGGACAGCAATGGTGGAAGGAACTCCCCAACCCTTTGGTGTTACCATATCAATTAACCTGAGCAGGCAGAGAGTTAATGATTCTCTGCTAAACACCCAGTGTGGTTACTGTACCATAAAAATGGAAATTCAGCTTTACTTTTTCTCTTTTTAATAAATCACATATCTGATGCATTGTCAAGGATTTATGCAAGAGTATATTTTCACATGATTTATATGAACAAAATATTCTAAGTATCCAATATATACAACAATAGAAAGAGGTTACATGAACAAAGGTACATCCCACACTAGAATACTATGTGGCTCCAAATACAAATTCAAATAAAACCCTTCTTAAAAAGAATATTTAGTGAAATAGGAAACCACTTACCATTAATAAGAGGTTTACGAAATCTGTATATACAGTATTATACTAGATTTATTTAAAAATAGGTACAGATACATAGAAAAACATTCCAGAAAATTCTAACACACTTTTAATAGCAGTTATCTTTGGGAAATTATAGGCAATTGCTTAGGTAATTTTCTTTAAGTTTTCTACAAAGAACACGTATTACTTTTGTAGTACATGGGAAGAAGTTAGCTTTGTCAAAAGCCTTAAAGGAATATAAAACCTAGTTTAGACTATAATGGTTATGCTGAGAGAATTTAAAAATAAAACCAGGCTAAACTATAACTTTCCTTGCAAGTTTGTACTGTGTAAAGTGAGGAGCCCGCACTCTCCCTGCTGACTGACTCATCTACATTTAGGGTTGTTGAAATTCATAAAGGCCACCTCCACTGTTCCACACCACAACTGGGCCCACAATGGTAATATCCCCACTGCCAAGCCCTGAATCAAAGCACAGCCACAGGATGCAAGCTCACAGAAGCAATTAGTCACAAAGGTATCTTAGAGCAGCTGAAGGGCACTGTCACCACCCTGGAAACACACCTGAGAATGTTTTCCTGAAACCCACAGCCCCCACTCTGTTTTACCTCCTACCTGCCAAGCGCAAAGTAAGGATTGTGCCAGACAGCATGCCCATGGAGAGGCAAGGCAAAATCGCCTCAAACAAGAGGGATGTGTGGGCACTTTGGCATTTGTCTTAATCCAACACCCTCATTTTACACATGAGACTGTGATTTCACATTGTGATTACTGACATCACCATAAATGCTGCCTAGCTTGCACGAGTCCAATTTCCACACCCCTGATCCATTCCAGGTCTAATGAGATCAGTCATGTGATGCTGGGTAGGTTATTAAGTCACCATTTTCTTCCTATAAAAACTGAGATGACAATATTTGCTGTCTTAGAGAATTATAAAGAGCAAAAGGAGAAATATAGAAGTGCTATATGTAAACTCAGAAAATCTCTTCACTGGAAATGGGTCATTATCACCTTAATGATATCTTGACCTAGGCAAGAAGTTAGCCAACTCTTGACCAATGCAATAAAATGAAGGCTTGGGATCCATTTTAAATGATTTTTGAAGCCATCTGAATAGGTGGGCCACAAAGTAAAATATCTGCCTTGGAAATAATAATGCTTGCCTCAGTAACTACAAACAACTCACTTTCTATCCTTGACTGTGGTTGTAATGGCCATTAGCACACTTACATTCAGAGACTCAGAAGGATTCATAGTTACTGCTCTCAAGAAAAATGGGTGCCTCTTTTTTTTATGCCCAAGTGCCAATGGGTACTTGTCAGGCAGAAAGAGTCACAGACTCTCACACTTGAAGTGACCTGTTATTTCTGAAAGTATCACTTGTGGCAGACAGCCTCATCAGGCTGGAGTCCTACAGTGCCTGGAGGCTCACTACCTCACATGGAACCCATTCCAGAGAGTCTGGCAACTCCAGTTGTTAGGTAGTTTTTAGACAAACAGATCTGTCCCACTATAGCTTTTCTGTCACCCACTGATTCTGTCTTTGGGTACAACACAGATCAATTCTACTCTCTTTTTCAAATGCTATGCTCACTCAAGTATTTAAAGATAGCTCCCTCTTCCAAGTATTTCCACCCCCTCCCCTGCCTTATCATACATTTCTTTCTGGGCCATCTTCAAAGGCAGTACCAAGAAGAGAACAAAGCACTTCCTATGTGGTCTAACCAGGACAGAGGATCACAAATCCAAATGACCATACAAAATAGCCACTGTCATTTGTAACAGTCTCCCCTCACATCCTGAATGAAAATGGAGAAGAAATGTTTTGATGATGGGAAAATGTAGTACAACATTTTGAAATGTCAAATGGGAAAAGAAATGTATTACGGTGTATTTTTGAAGCCAAGTTCCTATAAGTAGTTGTGTTTAAATATTATCGTGTTCCCTGCTATTTCTAATAAAGAAGTGCACAAAAATAGATTCATGGGTGACCTGGTTAATAGGAATCTCCAAACTCACTGCACACTCCTTCCTCATTATACAACCGACTGCAGAAATCAAACACTGTGAAAGGATATTCAAGGTACGTGTCGGACCAAGTTGGGCCCGTAGGAGTCTGAGTCTCGGTAAAGCAGCTGTGCAACAGAAATAGCTTTAAAGGCAGAATATAAAATGTGTATACTAAAAAAAAAAAAAAAAAAAAATCAAAGGAAGAAGAGAATACCATGGTTTTTTTCCACTGTTTTATATAAGAATATTGATTTGAATAAGCCTATATGCAGTAAAATAGCAATAAAGACCCCCCTCTGAAATCCACAAGGCCTGAGGGGAATACCTGGATAAGTTCAATTCCAGTGGGAGGCAATTAGTGAGCAAGTGTCAACCTGGTTTGTGCAAGAGGCCTTTTCTCTAGAAGAGAGCTCTGTGTAGGTCACTTTAGACAACCAGACGGTCTGATTTATGGTGTAAAGAGTGGAATTCCTAAGAGGAAAGGCTGTCATTTGCTTCCCTCCTCTGACTCTTTAGGATTCTCAGCTTCACTGGCTTTCCAAAGTACAGGAGAGCTGGTAAGAAAAAGAAAGGAAAATCAGACTGCCTGTCTATAGCCTTGTCCATGGTTCTGAATCAGGAGCCAGTGCAGACTGGGAAGGACCTTGATCACTTATTGGTCAGCTCTTCTGTCGCATCAGAGCTCATGTGTGATGAGTCCCATCCTGAGAAAATGGTGATTGTGCTGTACTCTAAATCCTTGGAATATTTTGAGAAGAGCGACAAGAGTAGGGGAAGACAGGAGTCTGAAAGAAATTTCAGATTTCATGGAAAATTTCTTCATTCCATTCCATTTCTAATAGTGTTAAAATAACTCCTGACATGATGATCCCAAACCCATATAGAGTTCTTTAGATGAAGAGGCATTAATTCTAATCTAGGTTTGGTCACTCACCAATGAGTCTGTTCAGCAAGTTACATACCCTCCCTGAGCCTTAGCTTCATGATTTGTAAAACAGGAAGAAATGTCCTCAAGGGATTATTGTGATGATTAGAGATGATGTAGAAAAGAAGCATCTGACAAAGACCATGGGCTATGGTAGTCACTCAAAAATGGATATTGCCACCATTACATATTATTAATTTTGTATTATCTTTATTCTTATTTTCTGAGGGAATTTGTAAATATTTAAGAAGATAAATAAATGGAACCACTTTACAGCCTAGAGGGGAAGATAATTCAGTGTGCTGAAATCATAGCTTTTATTGCCATCATAGACTTCTCTTTTATATTAACAACATCATCAACAAACATGACTCATTTCCACTGAATTCCACTGCCAGCTAATACTCAGGACTTATGCCTGTAAAGACCCCGTTCTTAAGTGTTTAACGTCTATTTTTGCTCTCAGTAGATGCTGATACTTGCAGATGAACACTTTAATAAGAACTCTGCCCTCCCCCCCATTCTCTCACCCTCTTATTGTGACCTGCTGCCTTGGGAAGACAAATGAAAGCACATGGCATCCAATGCCTGGATGTGGACCAGCTCTCTGGACCCACAGCCACTCACTGTGGTGGTCATGGCTGTCACACTCCCCAGGTGGCCTCTCCTTACTCTAGCTTCTTGGGCTTGATGTCCCCCACCTGTAGGTGCCCTTCCATCATAGTTTTGGGCATTTGCACTACAAACCTCATCTCTAAGATCTAATAACTTACAGATCGCCTTTGACTCATGATGGCATTACATCCCAATAAATCTATTGTAAGCTGAAAATACGATCATTAGCCGAAAATGCATTTAAAGCTCCTACCTAGTGAACATCACAGCTTAGACCACCTAAAATGCACTCAGAACACTTATGTTAGCCAGCAGCTGGGCGACATCATCTAACACAGCCTGTTTTATAACAAAGTGTTGACTATCTCAGGTAATATATTGAATACTGAAAGTGAAAAACAAATGCCCTAATTCAAAATTCAAATTGCAGTTTCTTCTAAATGCCTATTGTTTGTGCACCATCATGAAGTAAAAAAATCATTAAAGCAGAGACCTGTTCATACTACCCTCTACCTACACTCTTCTCTCACTCATCCTTTAAAATTAGGATTTAAGGGGTCTCCCTGGTGGCACAAGGGGTTAAGATGCAACCTATGACCTGTCCACAGCCACTGCAGCATGAGTTCGATCCCTGGTCAGCCAGGGAGCAACCCCCATGACACAGCAGACCTCTCCTCTCTCGCCCGCTACTCCCCTCAGCAGTGTGTTTCAGCTGATCTGCCTGTTTTGTTCCCCACTCTGTCTCTGGTGGATCCTCTCACCCTCCATACCTCTGATCTGTACCCCAGCTCTTGTATGCATAAATAAATAAATCTTAAAAAAATAATAAAATTAGGATTTAAGACCCATGCCAATCTCAATCAAAGGGTTACTCTTGTCTTTAGGGGAAGACTGTTGAATTTCCAACTGTCACTTTCTATGATTTTATGAACTCTTCCATATCAGAGGTCATAGCTCCTTGAAAGGTGTTC